GGCAACAAGAACATACATTGGGGAGAAGACTGCCTCTTCAATATCTGGTAATGGGAAAACTGGACACCATATGTAGAAGAATGAAACTAGATCTGCACCTCTCACCATATACCAAAATCAACTCAAAATGGATTAAAGACGTAAGTATAAGACCTGAAACTATAAAACTACTAAAGGAAAACTTAGGGGAAACACTTCAGGAAGTAGGACTGGGCTAAGACTTTATGAATAAGACCCCAAAAGCAACAACAACAAAAAGGCAACAAAAGAAAAAAAAAAATATATATATATATATGGGATTACATCAAATTAAAAAGCTTCTGCTCAGCAAAGGAGACACCAAAAGAGTGAAAAGACAACTCACAGAATGGGAGGAGTTGGAGAAAATATTTGTAAACTATTCATCTGACAAGGGATTAATATCCAGAATATTCAAGGAACTCATACAATTTAACAGTGAAAAAACAACCCAATTAAAAAATGAGGAAAGGAATTGAATAGACATTTCTCGAAGGAAGGCACACAAATGTTCAACAGGTACATGAGAAAATGTTCAACATCACTAATCATCAGGGAAACACAAAGTAAAACCACATTGAGATATCATCTCATCCCTGTCAGACTGGCTATAATAAAAAAGACTGAGAATAACAAATGCTGACAGGAAAGCAGAGAAAGGGGAAGCCTCCTACACTCTTGATAGGACTGTAAATTAGTACAGTCATTATGGAAAACAGTATGGAGGTTTCTCAAACAACTACACATAGATCTACCATATGATCCGGAAATCCCACTACAGGGTATATATATCCAAAGGAATGGAAATCATGTCGAAGGGATACCTGCACTCCGATGTTCACTGCAGCTCTATTTACAATAGCCAAGATATGGAACCAGCCTAAATGTCCATTAACAGATGATTGGATAAGGAAAATGTAGTGTATGTACACAATGGAATACTACTCAGCCATAAAAAAGAATGAAATTCTGCCACTCACAGCAACATGGATGAGCTTGGAGAAAATTATATCAAGTAAAATAAGCCAGGCACAGAGGGGAAAATACCAAAAGTGGGAAAGAAAAGACCACAGTGGTGTGCTGGACTTGCAGAGGGAGAAAACAGACCGAGGGTTGCTGGGGTGGGGTAGGGAGAGAAGTTGGGGAGAGGTTGGGTGGAGGACACAGGAAGTAACTACAATATGAGGTGGTGGCATGCTGATGGTATTGATCTGATCATCACATCTTGGGCACAAGTGCTGACAGTTAGTTATGAGCCCCATCAATATGTATAATCAGTAAAAAATAATAAAAATATATACATATTTATCAAAGTAAATTCTAAGTAAGAGATTAATACTTCAAATAATACTTACTAAACAAAATTTAGTATGTATTACTACACATTTACTATATTACAAATATTTATTATGTATTGCTGTAATTGAAAAAAGATTTAGATAATTACAAATGAAATAAAACATATTTTCTGATAAATAAATAAATGCCTTGTCTACTAATTCATGTTTAGAAAAAAATTCAAGATGGATCATAGGCCTTAATGTAAAAGCTAAAATTATAAAACTACCAAAAGAAAACAGGAGAACATCTTTGAAATCTGGCATAGGGAAAGATTTTTTTAGGACATTAGAAAAGAAAACCTAATCATAAAAGAAACAATTAATAAAATCAACTTTTGTTCATCTATGAACCAGCAATTCCACTCCTAGATATTTACCCAACAGAACTAAAAACATAGGTCCACCAAAAGCCTTGTTTTAGAATGTTCATAGCAGCATTATTCATAATCGCCAAAACCTAGAGACAATCCAAATGTTCATCAACAGTAGAATAGAAAACAAACTATGGTTCATTAAATAAACTAGAATATTCCTCAGAAGTAAAAATCTTAGGTTGAGCCTTATACAAAAGAAATAATGAAAATAAAAGTAGTAATGTACAAGGGTACTTCGAAAAGTTCATATAGATACTTGTACTATCTTTTAATTCTATTTTTCCATGAACTTTTTGAAGTACTCATATTATTCTCTTTATAAGAGGTTCTGGAAGAGGCTATGTAACCTATGGTGGAAAAAAATCAGAACAGTGCTGCCCTTGTTAAACAGAAAGGGGTAAAAAGGGAACTTTGTGGGGTAATGAATATATCTTCAATCTCAATTTGGGTGCAGGTTGCACAGGTGAACACATTTGTCAAGATTTTTCAATTATATACTTTAAATTTGTGCATTTTAACAAATATTGTTAGCATAAAAATAAAAAGATCCATTTTCTTCAAAGTAACAATAATAAGATGAAGGGCTGACTTCTCAACAGAAACCGTGGAATCTGGTTTCTGATAGCATGATATCTTTAAAGTGCTGGGGAAAAAAACCTGCCAATCTAAAATTTTCTTTCTGAAATAAAGACGAAATAAACACATTGTCAGACAAACACAAAGTGGAGGAATTTTGTCACTATAAAAGAAATCATAAAGGGCGCTAATAAAAGAAAAATGATTCCTGGGTGGTACTATCATTATGCTAGAAGAAATGGAGAGTACAAGACAGGGTAAATATGAAGAAAAATATAAATGAACATTGACTGTAAAGACCTTTCCCCCATCCCACCTGCCCAGGAATCTCCAGGGAGTACTCTGCTCATCATCCGTGGCTCTGCTTCAAGCTCCATCTGGGCAATGATATCTGGCTTGGAGATCCCTCCAAGGTCCTGATCAATTGAGAGACCAGGGTATGAGGGTGTGGATGAGGAGAAACTCTCCTAGCTTTCAGTGACCTCATACCCCTGGCCAGGTCAAATCCATTCTGCTGAGATCCCAGGCAGAAAAAACCAACACAGGGCCCAGCCTCATCCACAGTGACTAGGTTCCTAAAGGTCTCCAGCACCACGCTGCGGTACAGGGTCCTCTAGGCAGTGCCCAGCAGCCCCCACTCCTTCTGGGTGAAGTCTACAGCCACATCATCGAAGGTTATCTGCTCCTGAAATGTCATCCACGTTTGCTGACCCAGGACCCTTATCCCTACAAAGCTTCCAGGGGCACAGGAAGAGGCGTACGTTGGCATGTGAAGATGGAATCAGGTGTACTGGGAAATGATTCTGATAGGGCTCTGGATTGTGAGGAATACACTTGAGGCTTTCTGGGGGTTCTGGGGATCTGCATCAGCCATTTCATAGGGAAGCCCTCCTAACCACTGAAATATTTAAGACGGCAGCGCTCCTGCCAAGGGTTCGGATCCCATATGGAGACCAGTTCCCACTCACTGGCTGAGCGCGGTGCGGGTGCAACACCAAGGGTTGCGATCCCATTGCCGGTCAGTAAAAAAGACAAAAAGGAAAAAAAATGCAGATAGATCTACCATATGACCCAGCTATCCCACAACTAGGAATATACCCAGAGGAATGGAAATCATCAAGTCGAAGGCATACCTGTTCCCCAATGTTCATTGCAGCACTCTTTACAATAGCTAAGAGTTGGATCCAGCCCAAATGTCCATCATTGGATGAGTGGATATGGAAAATGTGGTATATCTACATAATGGAATACTACTCAGCTATAAAAAAGAATGAAATACTGCCATTTGCAACAACATAGATGGACTTAAAGAGAATTATAATAAGTGAAACAAGTCAGGCACAGAAAGAGAAATATCATGTGTTCTCACTTATTCATGGGAGCTAAAAATAAATAAATAATTACACAAACAACTGGGGAGGAGGGGGAGGGAAGGAGACACAACAATTACAATTTCTTGAAGTTGATATGACAAGCAGACAGAAAGGACATTGTTGGGAAAGAGGGGGGATAGGGAGGAGGGAGGGAGATTTCGGTTATTGGCCACAATAATCAACCACATTGTTTATTGACAAAATAAAATAAAATTTTTTAAAAAATAAAAAAGTAAACCTCAATCCCTGTACCATTTTCCCTACTATCTGTAATTCCAAAAGATAAAAACCATTTTCTAACATAATCATAATCATAACCTCATTATTAAAACTAAAAAAAAAAATACAAAAGGAATAGCTCCTTTACATCACTGAACATTCAATATTTGAATTTGTAATTATCTAATTTTAAATATTTGATCTTTTTTTTTAAAATTGAGAAGTAATGAAGGTCCATACTTTGTAACTGATAATTCTTTTTAGTAACAGCTTTATTGATATAATTCATATATCATACAATTTACCACTTAAAGCATACACTTTAATGTTTCTAGTATATTCAACCATCACCAAAATCAATTTCAGAACTTCATCAACCCAAAAAGAAATGCTGCACCCTTAGTCATCATCCACCAGTCCCCAAACCTCTTCAGCTCTAAGCAACCACTAATTCACGCTCTGTCTCTGCGGATTTGCCTATTCTCAATATTTCATGCAAATAGAATCTTACAATACCAGCTTGCTTCAAAAACTTCATAAAAAGATTCATATTATTTTTCAATTCTATTTGTCCATGAACTTTCTGAAGTACCCTCAGTGTGGTCTTCTGTGTCTGGCTTCTTTTACTCCACATAATGTTTTCAAGGTTTACCCATGTGGTAGCACATATCAGTCTTTCATTCCCTTTTTATTGCCAAATAACATTCCATTGTATGGACGTGCCATATTTTGTTTGTCCATTCTTCAGTTGATGGACATTTAGGTTGTTCCAATTTTAGGCTATTATACATAAATCTGCTCTGAACATTCATGTACAAGTTTTTTCATGGATGTATGTTTTCATTTCTCTTGGGTATATATCAAGGAGTAGAATTTCTGGGTCACATGGTAACTCAATGTTTAACATTTTGAAGAACTTCCAGACTAGTTTCTATTTTACATTCCCACCAGTAGAATTTAAATTCCTCTCATCCTCACCAACACTTATTATTATCATCATTATTATTTTTGCCTCATTGGCTTTTTAAAAAATTTTTTAATACATGCAAAGAGAATAGACAGTGACTATCCGTATGTCTACCATCTTGATTCAATAGTCATTAGCAGTTAAATCTATGTGTTTCGCCCTTCTCTTGACCTGTCTTTTGAGTCTCTATTAATCTACATGGAAATAATGAGTACAAATCATGTGGTCTTGATGTCTTCAGCAAGGACGGGCTCCTGAGGCTTTGTGGTGGAGGCCTGGGGAGATGACTGATCTGGAGTGCCTCGCTCTGCCTTTCCCACTGAGCCCAGCATCCTCTCCTTAATAAGTCTGGGGCATTCTGCTCAGGCTTCAGTAGGGTAATGTAGCACTTGGGGATGAAGATGTCACCCAGCAGCCCTGCAGTGGGGGCCAAGATAGAGAAGATCTCCACAGCCACAGTGGACTTGCCCTGTGTACTTTGGTACATGGGCAGAAAGGCTATCCAGACGCTGCAGAAAAAGCAGCTTACTGAAGGTGAGGAACTTGATCTCATCGAAGGCATCATGCAGACCCCTGGCCAAGAAAGTCACAGAGAAAGTGCTCCCAGCCAGGAGACCCAGGTAGCCCAGCACACAGTAGAAAGCAATGCCAGAGCCCTCCTGGCAATAGATGGCAATATGGTGGGGCTTGAAGGCCATGTCCATGTTAGGAAATGGTGGAGAGATCCCCAGCCAGACCCCACAGAGAACAACCCGCATCAAGGAGGTGACAAAAACCACTAAGGTGGAGGCACCAGGTTCCAGCCACACCTGAATCCTGTGCCCCAGTCTGGTGGCCCTGAAGGCAAGGACCACAGTGAGGTTCTTGGCCAGGACAGAGGAGATAGCCACAGTAAATAGGACAGCCAAGGTGGTCCAGCGGAGAAAGCAGATGGCAGTGGTGGGGCGGCCAAGGAAAAGGAAAGGAAAGAGAGCACAGAGGCTCAGGGAGGCAAGAAGCTTGTAGCTAAGAGCTCTGTTGTTGGCCCTGACCATGGGCGTGTCCCAGTGCTTCAGGAACGCTGCAAGGACCAGCACCACCAGGCTGGCCAGCATGAACGCCACTGAGGCCAGCGTGAGTCCCAGTGGATCATCAAAGGCCAGGAAGGTCTCTGTTCTGGGCAGGCAACGGTCTCTGGCAAGGCTCGGGTACTGTTCCTCAGGGCACAAAAGGCATATCTTCACGTCTGTGGGAGACACAGAGACCCTCACATCTGCCACATGTTGATAATGACACCAGCTCTGTCAAGCGAGGCTCCCTAGGTGCTGAGTGCTCTAATGAACATTTTAAGATATTATTGCATTTATGAATTATTCTAGGTAACAAGGCCAGGATAGGCTACATTAGACCCTGAAGCACAGAAAAAAGTGCCTACCCTACATACTTGTTTTTATGAGGGTTTTTTTTTTTTTTTTTTTTAGTGGTTAATTTTTTTCCAAGTAGTAGCAGGATCTGTTCTTATTAGCAATTATTATTGGCTGACCCGTGGTCCCCTAAATTTCATGTGTTGATGCCTTAATCTCCAGTGTCTCAGCATGTGACTGTACAGATGAGCCCTGATTTACAATGGTTCCACTTATGGTTTTACAAGTTTTTGACTTTATGATGGTGCAAAAGAGATGTGCATTCAGTAGAAATCATACTTTGAAAAAAAATTTTTTCCCAGGCTAGCAATATATGGTAAGATACTCTGTCACGATGCTGGGCAGTGAGCCACAGCTCCCAGTCAGCCATGCAACCAGTAGGATACACAATCAATACTCTACAACCATTCCGTTTTTCACTTTTGGTAGTATATTTAGTAAATTATATAAGATACTCAACACTTTATTATAAAATAGGCTTTGTGTTGGATGATTTTTGCCCAACTGTTGCCTAAAGTAAGTGTTCTGAGCACATTTAAGGTAGGCTAGGCAAAGCTGTGATGTTAGGTAGATTAGGTGTATTAGCGTATTTTTGATTTATGATATTTTCAATTTAGGATGGGTTTATCAGGGTGTAACCCCATCATAAGTTGAGGAGCATTTGTAGTTGAAGACAGGTAAATTATAGATGAGGTAATTAAGGTTAAATGACATCATTAGGTTGGGCCCTAATCCAACATGACTGGTNTGCAGACCCCTGGCCAAGAAAGTCACAGAGAAAGTGCTCCCAGCCAGGAGACCCAGGTAGCCCAGCACACAGTAGAAAGCAATGCCAGAGCCCTCCTGGCAATAGATGACAATATGGTGGGGCTCGAAGGCCATGTCCATGTTGGGAAATGGTGGAGAGATCCCCAGCCAGACCCCACAGAGAACAACCCGCATCAAGGAGGTGACAAAAACCACTAAGGTGGAGGCACCGGGTTTCAGCCACACCTGAATCCTGTGCCCCAGTCTGGTGGCCCTGAAGGCAAGGACCACAGTGAGGGTCTTGGCCAGGACAGAGGAGATAGCCACAGTAAATAGGACAGCCAAGGTGGTCCAGCGGAGAAAGCAGGTGGCAGTGGTGGGGCAGCCAAGGTAAAGGAAAGGAAAGAGAGCACAGAGGCTCAGGGAGGCAAGAAGCTTGTAGCTAAGAGCTCTGTTGTTGGCCCTGACCATGGGCATGTCCCAGTGCTTCAGGAACACTGCAAGGACCAGCACCACCAGGCTGGCCAGCATGAACGCCGCTGAGGCCAGCGTGAGTCCCAGTGGATCATCAAAGGCCAGGAAGGTCTCTGTCCTGGGCAGGCAACAGTCTCTGGCAAGGCTCGGGTACTGTTCCGCAGGGCACAAAAGGCATATCTTCACGTCTGTGGGAGACACAGAGACCCTCACATCTGCCACATGTTGATAATGACACCAGCTCTGTCAAGGGAGGCTCCCTAGGTGCTGAGTGCTCTAATGAACATTTTAAGATATTATTGCATTTATGAATTATTCTAGGTACCAAGGCCAGGATAGGCTACATTAGACCCTGAAGCACAGAAAAAAAGTGCCTACCCTACATACTTGTTTTTATGAGGGTTTTTTTTTTTTTTAGTGGTTAATTTTTTTCCAAGTAGTAGCAGGATCTGTTCTTATTAGCAATTATTGGCTGACCCGTGGTCCCCTAAATTTCATGTGTTGATGCCTTAATCTTCAGTGTCTCAGAATGTGACTGTACAGATGAGCCCTGATTTACAATGGTTCCACCTATGGTTTTACAAGTTTTTGACTTTATGATGGTGCAAAAGAGATGTGCATTCAGTAGAAATCATACTTTGAAAAAAAAATTTTTTCCCAGGCTAGCAATATATGGTAAGATACTCTGTCATGATGCTGGGCAGTGAGCCACAGCTCCCAGTCAGCCATGCAACCAGTAGGATACACAATCAATACTCTACAACCATTCCGTTTTTCACTTTTGGTAGTATATTTAGTAAATTACATAAGATACTCAACACTTTATTATAAAATAGGCTTTGTGTTAGATGATTTTTGCCCAACTGTTGCCTAAAGTAAGTGTTCTGAGCCGGCCCGGTGGCGCACTGCTACAGTGCGCTGCTTGGGAGAGCAGAGGCGCTCCCGCCGAGGGTTCGGATCCCACATACAGACCGGTTCCCACTCACTGGCTGAGCGAGGTGCGGGCGCAGCACCGAGGGTTGCGATCCCGTTGCCAGTCCTGGTCCCGTACGGGCGCAACACTGAGGGTTGCGATCCGTTGCCGGACACGAAAAAAGACAAATAAATAAATAAATAAAGTAAGTGTTCTGAGCACATTTAAGGTAGGCTAGGCAAAGCTGTGATGTTAGGTAGATTAGGTGCATTAGCGTATTTTTGATTTATGATACTTTCAGTTTAAGATGGGTTTATCAGGGTGTAACCCCATCTTAAGTTGAGGAGCATTTGTAGTTGAAGACAGGTAAATTAGAGATGAGGTAATTAAGGTTAAATGACATCATTAGGTTGGGCCCTAATCCAACATGACTGGTGTCCTTGTAAGAAGAGAAGATTAGGCCACAGATGCACACAGAGCAAAGACATGGGAAACACAGAGAGAAGACAGCCTTGTGCAAGCCAAGGAGAGGGGCCTCAGAAGAGACCAAAGCTGCCAACGTCTTGATCTCAGAGTTCTAGCTTCCAGAACTGTGAGAAAATAAATTTCTATTAAGCCACCCAGACCTGTGTATTTTGTTACAGCAGACCAGCAAACTAATACTGCAATTTTCCCATTCTTCTTTTGGGGATTGTTAAAGTTACTGCTCTGGACTACAATGAGATGGCACTATATCCCACCAGAATGGCTGAAATGAATAGACTCAACAACCCAATGGCTGCTGAGGATGAGGTAGGCAGAATAATGCCCCTTCCCCAAAGATGTCAATGCCCTAACATGTGGAACCTGTACATATGTTAACACATATGCAAGAGAGGCTTTTTAAGGTGTGATTAAGTTAAGGATCTTGAGATGGAGAGATTATCCTGGCTTATCCAGATGGGTCTAGTGTCATCACATGAGCCCATGAAAGTTGGACAGGGAAAGGGTGAGGGGAGAGGTAGATATTTGGCAGAAAAAGAGTCAGCAGAGATTTGAAGCATGAGAGGAATGATATGTGACAAGGAATGCGGGTGGCTTCTAGAAGCTGAGAATGACCCGTGCTGACAACTCTCACGGATATGGGATCTTCAGTCCTACAACAACAGGGAATTGAATTCTACCAATAACATGAAATTGCTTGGAAGCAGATTCTTCCCCAGACCCTCCAAGAAACACAGTCTTCCCAGCACTTTAATTTTAGCCTTGTGAGACCCTAAGCAGTGAACCTAGCAGGAGCATGCTGTACCTGGACTTTTGAACTACAGGAACTGTGAGATAGTCCATGTGTGTTGTTTTAAGCTGATCGGCTTGTGGTAATCTGTTACAGCAGCTATAGGAAGCTAATACAGAAAGTAACTGAGCAGTGCCTACACTCATAGTGGGAATGTGAAGCGGTACCACCACCAGTGTCAATTAAAGCTGCATGTATTCTACCCGTGGCCCGTCAATGCCACACCCAACAGAAATCCTTCCATAGGTCTACAAAAGACATAGCAGCACTACTCATAACAACCCCTGATCAGGAAACTTCTCACATCTGCCATCCCTGTTGGAATGGATGAAAAAGTCATGGAATGTCTACATGGTAGGATCCTCCCAGNGCCATCCCTGTTGGAATGGATGAAAAAGTCATGGAATGTCTACATGGTAGGATCCTCCCAGGCACAAACATGAGAACTACAAGTACACACAACCACTGAGGTGAATCTCACAAGCATAACATGGAGGGAAAAGCAAGACACAAAAGAATTCTCAGCCCGAGATTCCACTAATAGGAGGTTAAAAGCAGGCAAAAGTTATGGACATCAATAGAAGACAGGATGACAGTTACCTGGTGAGACAATGACCAAAAAATGCAGGAAGGTTCTTCTGGGGACAGATCCTGTTCTGTTTTTTGATCAGGGTGTCAGGGACATGGAGTGTTTGATAAATGAGATTTCATCAGGCTGCACATTTATGATCCATGCATTTGCAGGATGATATTGTTCAGTAAAACGTTTACCTAAAATAATTGTAAGAGGGGCTTCCTCATCAGCATTCTCATGTCCAATGTTCACAGAAGGTGCGAGACTGTGCAACAACTCACTGGACTGAGAATTTGAGAAGCTGGAGGTACCTTGATGGTTCCTCAGGACTCAGCCTCTAGGAGCGCTCACCTCTTTGCTCTTCAAATGGTCTCTTGGGGCAGGGGCTGCACTCAAAACAGCAGTGGGGGAATCCCTGTTGGGGGATCTGGCTGAATCTGGAGCACAACTCTTGCTGGAGACAGAGCTGGGGACCTGAGGAAAGATGAGCTGGAGTGTTATCAGCAACCAATCCAGAGACACAGGACACAGGTCCTGTCCTGAACCAGCCCAGAGAAGCAATCCTGTATCTTTCTTACCCACAAAATGAGAATTTTTTCACAGGAAAAAATCATCTCAGTTACGTCAAAGAAGCCATACTGAAGAGGCACCCACAAGGGTAGCAAGTGAGATAAACTCTTGAAAGGGGATCA